TAAAGATTGTCTACAAAATGAAATGTCTATAAAATGAACTGTCTATGAAATGAACTGTCTGTAAATTAATTGTCTTTAAATAACTTGTCTATGAATTGATTGTCCGTGTAACAAGGTGTCTGTGAAATAAACTTCTACGAAGTGATGGGTACCCATTTAATATAGATATGAAGACTAAAAATTGTTCTAGCAATAGAAGTTGACCTGATTGATTAGCCTGAGTTTTTTTAGGATCGACCTTGACCATGATTTTTCCACCGGCCCGTATCACTAAAATATACATATATATAAATATAAAAACTTACTTGCTCATTAAAATAAGCTTCCATTTCATCCCAAAATGTATCAAATTTTGTTCCTTTAAATCCATTATTTGTCCGTAAATCGAATATAATATTGGGATCTGCCAATTCTAACATTAATCGTAATCTCTCTTCCACCTCACGACTAACTGCATCCGAAGTTACAGCTGCATTTCCAGTCAAATCAAAATGAAGCATCCGTAATACTGCTGGTGTAACTTTCTGAATATATGAATACTATTTTATAAAGAAAAAAGATTATATATTATAAATGTAGTGATATTTAAATATTAATTGTATTGTTATCATACCTTATTAAGCACATTTTTTCTCATTTGCCGTGTAAAATAACAAGGTAACTCTTCATGAATTTTAGCCAACATGCATGCTTTTAGTGTTTCATCTTGCTCGTTATTTGACATTTCATTTTCTCTCCATATGTAGTTAATTGTTCCTAAATAATTGCCCTGATAATATCTAAAAAGTCAAAATAAGTTTTATTTTAATATAAATCATATAAATCTTATTAGATAAAGATTTTTAATTCTAAAAAATCGAACACGAATATTTTTTGAAAAATCGTATTTTCGGCAAACTTTTCGGTATTGCTAAATTTTTTATATGAACCCCTTCAAATAACTGTATTGTATGATGTATTTTGATGAAAAGAGTTCAAAAATTTCGGCAATAATTTCGGCAATAATTTCGGCAAATATGAAAATTAACTTTAGCACTATATAAGAATAATTTCGGCTGCCTAAATGCCGTAATTACTTTTTTATTAAGGTAAACAATTTAGACGCCCATATATACACGAAACTACACTATCAAAATACTAACCTATATATACCAATAGAAAATGTAAGCTGCAACTCTTTCATAAATTTGTATCGGCTTATAGCATCGTCTGGAAGATATTGTTGAATTTCAATATGTTCGTAAAATGATTTTTCAGATAATAGATCGTCCAATTGAACATATTCATCTTTAAGTTGATGAGGTTCACAAGCACTAACTCGGTACATGGTACTATTATTTCCAGGACTACGGGCACTTTCATTGCTATGATGAAGTTCATTCATACTAGCAGTTGTTGCAATTAAATAGTCCGAATATTTTTTCAAAATTTCAATTAAAGAAAGAACTGCAGGCATTACTTGATTCCACCTATCACTACTCGCCCATGGTTGACTTATAGAAATCTCAAGAGAACTCGAAAGATGCACAAGTTTTTGTTGAGACAATGGATTCTTTTTATGATGACCAGTATAATAATACTCATCATATGATTTACCATCCTGATACGTTTTCAACTGTGCAAAAAGAGCTGGTAGATGATATGAACGTGCACTTAGTGTTGAAAGATGTGGATCAATATACCAAAGAGCAGTTGCAATACGATTTACGAATGCTTTTCCTATTGTTTCATGTAAACCACCTGTCCATCCAACCTGTTGAGCTTTGAAAAGTTCGATAATTTCATTATAAAGTCGATCATAGTTATTACGCTCATTACAATGACGAGGAAGCAAAGGCTGCCTTGAATTTGCCATTAAAATGCTGAAAGCATCTGGTTTGTCTTGAATTGAAACTGAAGTGTCTAAATTTGTATTGGAAGCAAGACAAAACTTGACTTGCATAAAACCTAAAACTTCAAGCATTCTCAAATCACCTTCTAACCCATTGTCTACTTCTCGCCAACCTTCAGACTTTTCTCGTCAAATAAAAACTTTCACCTCTCTATTATCATATTGCCCTAACGTAGTTAAATCAAAAAGTTCAAAAAATTTACATGTCGACTCTATACTCATTATACGCTCAGGAATAATGCATTTAACGCCTTCATTAACCTGAACCAGGAGATAGAGCATTTTTGAGAAAATTGATTAATGGGGCAAAAAAATGTATCTTTAAGCTTTTATTTCGTTATTTATTTATTTATTTATGTTTTTTTTCCATACTGACAGTTCTTCTATTTTATATATTATGGTTATATATGCACGCACGTATCTATCATTATTGTTCACCTTGCATGATTAATGCCATTTTCACTCATACGTACTATTACAGAGATACCTTTCTAAATGTACCCATAATGACCAAGCTTCTAAAACATCGTGCATTTAAAGAACAATATGAATAAGTGCATGTACGGGAGTCACGTATATACTTGGGCCAGAAATTGAGAGTGTATTTAGAGAGGTGGAGCATTAGAGAGGTCTCTCTATACTTATGCTACCTGATTGATGCTACTTTCGTTCACACATCGCTACCACTTTCGTATATCGTAATTGTTCTTGCTGCATCGCAATTTTTCCTGTTGCATGTTGATACCACTTTCGCTCACACATATTATTACTCATGTTGCATGATTGATGCTCTACATTCGCTTGCACATTGTTACCACTTTCAATCATATGCTTTATCACGTATATCGTAATTGTTCTTGCTGCATGTTGATACCACTTTCGTTCACACATACTATTACGCATGTTGCATGATTGATGCTACTTTCGTTTACACATCGCTATCACTTTCATTCCTATACTTTATCTGATATATCGTAATTGTTCTTGCTGCATTGCAATTTTCCTGTTACATGTTGATAACACTTTCGCTCACATGTTTCACTTTTTTTTTTATTCATTTTGGGTATATAATAGAAAAGAATAGTCGGGTTTTGTGAAAATTCGATAAACTATCTACAGAATTTTCTGGTTTTCAATTATCGGGATAGGCATTTAACCTTCAAAACAAATTAGGAATATACTTGACGATTGTTTCAGGTGGAAGAGACATTGTTCATATATTTGCGTTGCTGAAGAGTGAAATTCTATATAATTTGGAATTTAATCATATTTTTAGAGCAACTACACAATTATAATGCATTTTTTTTTTCAATTATATTACGTACGTACGTTGCTGGAAATTTAAAAACCTTATATCAAATAAAAAATAGCCCGCTCTAATATATTATCAATTATTATCAGCATAGGCTTGTTTTTAAGTTTCAACAGTATGCAGGATAGGTACGCCGTACGCATTATTCTTGGTATATTTCTATGCAGGGTTTTAAATTTCTGCACCGTCATACATATTAACAATTTCGATCGATCGCTTAGACCCATGATTTGCAAAATTTGTAACACACTAGCATTCAAACCACTTGAAACTAGAGTAAGTATATATTAAATAATGGTATCGCTAATATCAAAGTTAATTAAGCTTCGCGTCATTGAAAGCTATTTTCTAAGTATATGATTATGTATTTATAAAACCTATTTCTTATATTTAATTCATACGGAATACAACATAATGGAATCTTTCCTAATGTTCTTTCATTTCTAGCCATAAAATCATCCAGGGCAAAAATTGACATGTGATTAAAAATGTATTCCTTAAAGTACGTACGGTGCAGGGCATTTAAAACCCTCAATCTCTCTATATAGAGATATTGCATTAATGGTAGCACATTGAAAATAAAATTTTTCTTAAATTATCAATTTCAAGAAAGTGAAGGATCTAGAATTCTCAAATTCTCTGCATAAGAATCATATGCCAAGAATAATATGTACTTAATAGCAACCATTGTATGCATGTTTCTGAGACTTAAAATAAGCCAATACTGAATTTAGCCTGTCTTCAATGCGTTAGTTTGATCTTTATTCTATATGAAGTGTTTGAGGTTTTTGAGAAGGGATGACTACCGGGGTAGAGACTAAAATTAAACAATCAAACAACTTACACAACAAAATCTATCCAATGACCGCTCAAGACTCTAAAACCTTGAGGTTATAAGGCGTGGAAAGACTTAGTCTTGCTGCGGTGCAACTGGAGATTAGAATAAGTATCTACTTTTATTCTGCTTAGATTTGCTATACTCAATACTTCAATTCAACACCAATTCCAAATTCCTTTTTTTCTTAATTTTAGTGCGGAGGTGTTTCAATTTACTAACTCGAACGTTGACGCTTGTCACGGGATCGGAGTAATAACGGATTTCGGATCTGGATTTCGGTTCACGATTGTCATGCAATCACGGGTCTCTGAATTACGTCACGGGTTCGAATATCAAATAATAAGTAGCTGCGCGACATTGTCGCGCTAAACCAGGAACGGACGAATATTAGATTCATTAAGAATTATGAGTTATAGTTTTGAATTCAGATAAATAAATATCGGGTATACAAGTAAATACAGCATAACTATATTGATATGAGACACTACAATTTAAACAAACAAAAAATTTCATAAGATTTTTATATGTATTAGTATAGATTGTAAAATACCTCTTTAAAAAACATATCATTGCAATCCACTACAATTTTCTGATGATAACCTTAATAATACATAACGCCGGAACAAATATTAAAAATAGGGGCATTTCACACCCTATACCGTACGGATCCGTTCATAATAATCTGCATAATTTAGAAATGTTCTTGGTAGATGATAATTATACGGATAAAAAGCTAAATGAGATGTGAACATCTCATATTAAATACTTAGACCAATGAATAATCACTAAACTTAGACTAAGGGTGCTCTCAATGTGATTGGATAGATATCGAGATCATGCATAAGTACTACGATTATTTCTGTAAATGAAGCGATCCCTATTGTAATTTTGCTAAAGTCTAACAAAAAAAGATGGCTTCAAACTTTTTTTTTATCGCGAAAATGAATCAAATTATCGGTTAAACTACTTTCCGAGTTCCGACCTATAATAATATTTTATGTGCTTGAGAGAACCTTAAACCATATGAATGAAAATTGAAACGAGAAATTAATACGTATATTGATTGATAATGTTTGATTAAATAAGAAAATACTTAATTGAAATATCATATGAAAACCTAACATTATATGACAAAGAGTTTCGTAGATCAACTTCAACCTATTAAAGATTTTTAGAGCTGTTAACACTTGTATGGCTTCTTTAAATACTATATTGCTTTAAAATCATTATTACTGTAGTAACGTAATAATATTTAATGCAAAGCTTATCGATATTATTTACCACAACTTGAGCCATGGCCAAGTCATGCAACACCATAGCTTAAGTTGCGGCTCATCGGCTTTGATCGGCTTGACTCAATTGTGTAGCTAAAACCGCTTCGGTATTTTGGTTAGTCAATTCCGAAGGACAATAATATTGACAAATTTGGAAGTATACTGTAATACATATTGTGGCATTAAGATAACATGAAAAAGCAATCCAATCAGATTCACAGATTCGGATACACCCTTTCACTTGCCGTTAAACCATACTCTACATACTTTGTACTCCGTTCCTGGTACAATAATGAAATCAAGGGTTTTATCAGTGTATTATCTTTATATTAAAGGGGGTTCTTATTATTAATTAAATTTTTCTTTCTTTTTGTTAAGCTTTTACTAACAATCAACAAAGGTTATAGGGACAGGAAAATGTAACAACTCATTTATAGTTGTTAGACAAAACCATGTGATAATCATTGCCTGTCATAAAATATCAAAATAGAAGCTATGTCAAAATTTTCTCTAATTTGAGCAACAACCACTTGACTAAATTCGATAAAATTTTTTTTATTCAAATTTTGTGAATTCAGAAAATTCAAATAAAAAAGGTTTTATCGAATTTGGTTTGGTGGGTGTCAGGATATCTTAGTTCAAAATTAGAGAAAAAATTTTGTACAGCTTCTATTTTGTTAAGGAGTTTGATTTTTCTTTAACTTTGAGTGAAGATATCTCAATAACTATCTAACTAAATTCAATGAAAATTATTTTTATCCAAATTCTATAGATCAATAGGATTTAAATAAAAAAAGTTTTATTGATAATTATCAAGATACTTTTACTTAAAGTTTTGAAAATTCTTAGGTATATGATCATGTGATGGCCTGGATAAAATAGAATTGGCCTAATTAAAATACTAAATTTCTATTGGTTACTATATATATAATGTTTTTTTTTAATACTATATAAATATTTTAAAAAGAGAGGGGGGGGGTTATGTTAAACAGAAAATTAAATTGGTGTGGCCTAACAGATATTAAAGGTTATAACTTTTTTTCGAAAAATATTTTCATATTACCAATGATACTTTTAGTATGAAATAGCATATGCAGAATTGCTATAGAAAGCTTATAAAAGAATTTTTTAAAAAATTTACTTGTTTTCACAAAGCAATTTTCACTATGACACTATAAGTTGATTCTGTTACTATTGCAACAAAGATTTATCTCTCACCTTAATATCAATATTCTTTTCATATATAAAAATGATTGAATAAAAATTTTTGTTAATGTATTAGGTTTTTAGGAGGCATAGAGAAGATTATAAAAAATAAAGAGTTGCTCAAGCATTTTTTAATTTGATAGATGTTGGCATTGATTGTGTGTTACCATGATTATTATTTAATTGATTGATTGAGATGCCCTTAATCAAAAATCAGCTAAAAAAATCATTCAGCAAATTTAATATTTCAGAAATTATGAAATCAGCCATAAAGCATAATGGCGAAAATGATAAAAAATTCATCAGCATAAATCATCTGTATTTTTGCCATATATGTATAACTAAAACATTAGTTACCAAAATTTTGATCAAACAAATTAGGATTATTTTATTTGGATCATTTTCTAAATTGGTAATTTTATAGTATGCAAATTGGGAGAACTGCACTCATGTGATATGTATAATTGTTGAATAATTTCAGCACTAATAGCGCTGGATATTCAACTTTATTAAAGAGTTATAGCATACATCAGTGCGTTTGATATATAATTGGCGTTAGCCGGTGGTTCCCACCCGAATTGCATATTTTTACATCTACAGTAGATCCTTTTCAAGCATGATGGAAAGTCAGTTAATCTTAGTTGGTGGTTTCCCACCTGCATAATTCAGGCCGACTTTAAAGAGGTGTTTAAGCTGCCACAAAATGGCAGAATTCTGCTGAGGAAGGGTAGGGCAGGGTGCGAAATTGATTTACCTCTTGAAAGGGCTGCTGTTGTGCTGGCCTACTGCTCTTCATATGTTATTTCTATACATTCCCTGCATTAGTATTCACGGCATAAACTCCTAAATTAGTAATTTCATTAAATTTATACTTATCTTCTTCCTTGCATATACCGAATTCTATTGTTGGAACCCATGTGATCATGGCTTGTTAATGCATCACTGCTTAGCTGTCTTTTCGATCTGTTGATCTACTGTCAGCTTTAATTTTTTCTTTTATATTCCTTTTTTTAATACTATTATATATATATTCAACAACTGTTTGGCAAGCAAAAATTTTGAACGCTATTTTGTTAGCGCAGTGCAATGCTTCGAAGCACTGCTACTGCTAGTACTAGTACAGGCATATATAGATAGATAGAGTATCTAACAATCAGATGTTCAACTTATATTTTTTATTGCTTTGGCAGGTTTTTGTCTCAATTAAAGTGAATTATGATCAATGCTTTTTTTTTTTTATTTTCCTTCGGAATTGAACTAACCAAATATGAAT